GGCTCAGGTCATGTCTCTGTGGTACACTGGAAAATATGTGGAATGGGATTTGGGGATATCAGGCTAGAGCCCTAATGGTGCCAAAGCCAGCCTTGTGACCTCGGGTGAGGGATCAGCCTCTGAGCTCAGATTTCTCAACTGTAAATGCTGTAAAATGAAGCTGTTAATACTTTTTTTACAGGGTTGTTGTAGGGATTAAATGAGAACATATCTGTGAAAGAGCTATGTGGTACAAACTGCCACATGAATCCTAATTACTATTGTTATTATCTGTTGTTCTAAATGAAAGACTCTGTGTGTGTGTGTGTCAAATAAATAAAATCTTGGGAAGAAAAGGAGGGGGGACACCTCGGGGGTTCAGTTTGTTAAGCATCTGCCTTCAGCTCAGGTCATGATCCCAGGGTCATGGGATCGAGCCCCACATCCGGCTCCCTGCTCAGTGTGGTGCCTGCTTCTCTGGCTCCCTCTCCCTATGCACCCTCCACCCCCACTCATGTGCGCAGGCACGATCTCGCACACTTTCTCCGTCTCTGTCAAATAAATAAATAAAATCATTAAAAAAATAAATGAGCAAAGCAATAATATCAAGTCCCTTATCCAAGGGGATCCTCAGCCTGTCCCCTTCCCCACTCTGTTCTGCTGAGCCTCACCAGATCACTACATCCCCATGACTAGTCCCAACCAGACCAGTCTCCTCCCCTGCCCCATACTTGTTCTTCTGGCTGTATCTCTTACGGGACCCTCCTGCTTTGAAGACCTCCTCTCTTCCTTACCCATCTACAATCACGTCCTTCAATATCCAGCTCCCAACCTACCTCCTCTAGATCTTTCCTCTGAGGAAAGAGGGTCGATGAAGGTCAGTTTGTCCTCTTCCCCCCAACTGAGCTACCTACAACCCCACAACCCCAATTTATGCTCAGTTCTGGGTAGATCTAGGTGGATGATAATGATGATGATGATTTATAAGATTTCATAATAAGAACAGCTGAAATTTTTTAAGCCCTTCCCATGTGCCAGGCACTGCGCTAAGCACACTACACATATTAACTCATTTATGGAGTGCTGGCTGGCCATATGGGACTGAACATCTGTTTCTGCCTCCAGAGCCTAGCACAATACGACTTCTTTGGTAGAACCTTCCTCATCAGCCCCCAGGCAGAATTAACATTTCTACCTCTGTGCCCACAGTGCCTGGATATTATTGACCTAATTTCACTAGCTTTTAATTATTTATCAAAATTTCCTCTCCCACTCTGCGAACATCTTGAGGGCTAGAGCCCTATTATATTCCTCTTTATTCATCTTGGTGTTCAACAGTAACTGCTACACAGTTGCCACTCATTAAATGTTTGTTGAATGAATGCACAGATGGATGGGATTATTAATACCATCTCCCCTGATATGCATGTGATTTTATAAGCTGCTCCCTCCATGAGGCCATTTTCCTGACCTCACACTTGAGAAGCATTCTAGACCAGAGCTACTCCAAGCATGATCGGTCTGCAAACAATTTGTTGCCATTACTGTCATTTACCTTGCCATGGACTGGCAACAAATTGTTTGCAGACCGATCATGCTTGGAGTCCATGGCAAGGTAAATGCAGAAATTGACAGTAAGCATTTAGAAAATTTTTGGTAACTTGACAGAGTAGTTTTGTGTCCACTGGATCATTAGAGTTAAAATTGGATCATTAGCTTTAAAAATTGGGCTTTTATTTTGTCTTTCTTTGTTATTTCCTTCCTTCTTCTAAGAAGTCATCCCTACTCTACTTTGCTTGCCATCATTTCATTTGGCAACAGCTTAAAATTTGAAAAGCAAGAACAGGTTTTTCTGCCCAGGTAGTCTGAGAAGTATGGTTCCAGACCATCAAACTCACTGGGATCCCCAGGGCTAAAGCCAGTGGAACCCCACAGGTAGAAGGGGTATGCTCGACCCTCCCTCTCTGGGTCCCACCCATCACTGCTTGTTCACATCTGTCCCTCCTACTGTTTGGAAGGACATGGAAGTGTCTCTTTTTCCTATTTAAATTCCTCATTGCTCTCCATCTTTCAAATCTGGTAGGTTAAATGAATGAAAGCTGATTCTGATCCGGGCCTGAACAGGAGGAGGAGAGGGAAAAGGAGGGGTCTGAAGAGAGTCTGGGAAGGGAATGATTGGATGGAGCAGATGGCAACCCTGAAGAGGGTGGGGAGGCTCCTGAGGAGACCTCCTGGAGCTGTCAGGGCGGCCGGCTGGAGCAGCCGGAGTTGAGATGGGGGAAGGGCACAGAAGTCTTTGGAATGGCATCTTCATCAGGCCCAACGGATGAGAGCCAAGCTCTTGAAGGTGGAAGGAAGCAGTTTCAGCACAAATGAAAGGGAATATGGAACCCTTTTACAGAAGGGATGTTGAACAAGAGATTCTCATAACTGACCTGAAGCAAGTGGTCAAGGCCAAAACTATAAATAAGTAGGTATTGGAGTGATATAGAAGCTCTCCTCTTCTCACCCCAGAAGGGAAGCAGAGTATAGATGTCAAGTCCATGAAATCAAGACAGATGATCAACATGGGGGCAGGGCGGGGAGAAACTGTAGCATCTGTAGATGCTCCTTTAGAAAAAGAAGATCTGAATCCCACATGAAAAAGGCAGGAAGGGCAAGGCTTCATTACAGCCTAATCGATGGCATTATCATATTTAAAGATCAGGTCAAGGGGAGGACAATGGGACTCAGAAAAGCAGAATATGATGGTGTTTAGGAAACCTACAGAAGCACAGAATCTGGAAATCTGGAGCTGTCTGGCTCCTGATGAGTCAGTTCTAAGGTTGGGCTGGGCTGGAGAGCAAGGACTTAACATGGCCCGGGGAAACCTCCCTGAGCACCCACCAGCTTCTTCTCCTCTGATTCCAGAGTTCACTGCCTCTATGACCTTCCAATCAAGAATTCTAAAGAATTGCCTAGAAAGGAGGGACCATGAGGTCTATACACTAGAGCTCCGGTCTACTCAACGATGATGATGACGATGATGATGGGGGGGCGGTGGTGGTAATAGTGACCATTGCTAACCTTCACTAAGCCCATGCTATGTGCCAGGTACCATTCCAAGCCATTTACAAATATTCATTTAAACCGACCTACAGCCCTATGAGGTAAGCATTCCTACCCCCATTCTATAGGTGAGAAAATTGAGGCTCTGTTAAATAATTTTTCAGGTTGATACAGCTTATAAGCAGAAGAGCCGTGGCTCGAACTCAGGCTAACTGACTCCAGAACGTGCACTAGGCTAGACCACTCTACATTAACTTTTATTGAGAATAACACATCGGCAATCTGGCTGGGGCATCCAGGTCTTTGGGGCTTGGGTGGCTTGAGTCCGTGCTGGATTCAGCATGCCCAGCTTGGCAGCACTAACCTAACGGGGGCTTTGCAAGACTCAGGACTGTGTGCTTCATCTAGAAAGTGCCACCCTGTGTGGCTAAGCCCGTGTGACCAGCTGGCTTCCTGGGCAATGCCTCTCCCCACTTGAGACCCCCAAGCCCCTTCAGGGCCCAATCCTTCAGGCACTTTGAGCTAGGAATCAGGAACCTGAGGTTGAGGCTCAACAGCTATGGGACTTCAGACAGGTAAACCACCAGTCTGCACCTCAGTCTCCCCGCAAGAAAACTGTGCATGTTAAATCACACTATCTCTTAAAGTAACTCCCTTTCTGAGTGAAGAATCAGCTGGATCCATGAACACCCTGGTTCCTGCCCAATGTGATGAGTAGTGGGTGGAAAGGGGGATGGGGTGCAGCCGGGCACGGAGTCCAGGGAAGTTAGGATCAGAGTTTGATTTCAAAGCTGGCTGCCCACCACTCTGGGACCGTGCTCTGCCCGGAAGTCCTCGGGCTGGCTCTGAAGGGACTTTGCTTGGCGCTGCAGGCTGAGGCTTTGCCGGGGGCTCCAGCTCTCTCTTCAGCTTCCCCGTGGAGGAAGGAAGGAGTAGAAGAAGTCAAAAATTCTGTCCAAATGCAAGGGCTGCAGAAGTAAGTTTAAGGGACTGGAGGAGGTGGGAGCTGCTTCCCAGAGCTGGGGGTGGGGTAGGGAGATAGGGAGCCAAGTCTTCTGAAGACCCCAGGTCTGGAGCGAAGCTGACCCCTCCCCCGAGGGTCCGGCCGACAGGGGGGCGCTGGGCCTCCTCCACGCCCTGCTTGCTGTTTGCTTAGCGGCTCTCCCCGGCGGTAGTGCAATGCGCGCTCTGCTTTCCCCTCCACCGTGCTCAGATGCCAGCTAGTCCTGCAGGGCACGGCCGTCTCCCCTTCATCTTAGGGTTCCCGGGTTAAGCCCCTTGCCTGGACCAAATCGGGCAGGCGCTTAGTGTGGAATGAATGAATGAATGAATGAACGAACGGACGAGAGAGATTCGTCCCGCAGAGCTTCGCGTCTCTGCGCGCACCTGGCGTGTGGGTGCCAAAGGTGCTGAGGGTCGGATTCAACGCGGGGACCCCGCTGTAGGGGGCGCGGCGCGGACCTTCTTCTGGTCGGCTGCAGGGCGGGAACTGCCCAAACGCAGTTCCCAGCTTCACCCGGTTTCCGCGGCGCCTCTGCTCGCTCGGGGCTGCCCTATTCCCCAGTCTCCAATCGCCTCGCTCTCATAGGTTCACCTGAGCCCCCCCCAAGTTCCCCCAGACTCCTTGGACTCCCCAGGCCCCAACCTCAAGTCAGGCGGGAGGAGGGAGGCAGGAGGCGGGAGGCTGCCTCCTCTCCCGCCCCCGCCCCCCCCATCCCGTGCTGCGGCGGCCGCCACCGCTGCCAGTGCGTCCCGCCGACTGTCGCAAACCCGGGCGCAGGGAAAGGGGGTCAGCAAGGCTAGGGCGCGAGGAGCCAGCCCCGAAGGCCGGTGGCAGGGCGCGCGGGAGGCGAGGGGAGCGCGGAGAGGGGCGCGGCGCGGAGGAGGGACTGAAGGGGAGGGGAGAGGGGCGGGAGAGAGGGGAGGGGACGCTCGGCGAGGGGGCGGGGAGTCGAGGCGGGGAGCTGCGCGGACGGAGGGGGAGGCGGCGGGGACGCTAGGCGGCTGTCCGCCGGGCTGAGTCAGGAAACCGCGGCCGGACTTGCCCGGGCCCGGAAGAGCGGGAGCCCGCGGGGCCGGGCCGGGCTGCGGGGCCGGGGAGCGCAGAGCCGGGCACCTCGGAGCCGGGCAGCGACACGGGAGCCCGGCCGCCCAGCCCGCGTCGCCGCCCCAGCCCGCCACTGTCGGCCGGCCCCTCTGGGATGTCCGAGGGACCCAGGCGTCCGGGACGGTGATCGAGCGAGCCCGAGGATGGGACGGCGTCCGCAGCTGCGGCTCGTCAAGGTAAGAGCGAGCCGGTCAGCCCTCGAGCGCGGGCGCCCCCAGCCCCGTGCCAGCGCCGGACGCGGGTGGGCTGTGGGTGTGATGGGGGTCACTGGGGAGGGCTGCGCACGGGTCCCTCTCCCTGGACCTCTGGAGCCGGCGTGGCGGGGGCAGGGAGGACTCAAGTGAAAAAAAGACATCATTGTGGCGAAGCTGCTGGGATGTTGGCGGAGGAGGGGTCCGCCCACCCCGGCCACCGGCTCTGTGCGGAGAATCGCTTTAGGCTTTAAGAGTGAAAACTTGGTTCCACCGCCCACCCCAACCCCCCCAGATGCAGACCCCGACCCCGGGACAGGCGACTCTGGAGGTGGGCTCCCCACCGGCCTCACACCCTCTCACCAGCTCCCCCACTCCGCCCGCCCCCGCCCGGTTCTTGGGAGCTCCTTCCTGCCCCTTCCCCTGCTCGGAAAGCTGCGAGTCCGGGGAGACAAATGTCCCCCAGGTCTCGCAGCCTTTGATCAACATCGCAATCTCCGGGGAGGAGACGGTGCATCCGGCGGCGCCCAGAGCCCTGCGTGGCGGCCGGCGGGCGGGAGCCCAGCGCTAGCTGCCCGAGCCTTTGCACTCGCGAGTCGCTGCGCTGCGCGGGCGGCTGCGCCTGCTTCTCCCGCTCCGGGTCTGGCGACGCGATTCCGGCGCCGGGAGTTTAGAAAAAGTCGCCAGACCGCCCGTCCAGCGTTTGCCGGCTGAAGTTCGGGGGCGACCGGGAGTGCCCGCCGGCTGCGTCCGCCGGGGAAAGGCCAGGGGGGTGTCGTCAGTCCGGCCCGCGGGTGGTGACAGCCGCCACTTCCAGTGCCGAGCGCTTCCCAAAGCGGTTCGGCTCGCCGGGTGTAGGCGCGTCAGCAGCAGCCAGAGGGAGATGAGAGGTGGATGGGCCTGGGCACCGCTGCCCCAGAGCCCTGCTCTCGCCGGAGGATCCGGACTCCGCAGGGTCGGTGTGGACCGCCTGGGCTACAAACACAGACCACACCAGCTTGACTGGGTTCAGGGCGTTTAAAAGCGATTACATTAGGAAGAATTGAATTGACTTGGGGGAGGGGTGCGAATTTCATTTTTCCTTCGGTTATTAAACCAACTGTGCGTATACTGGCTCACAGTGGTTTGACTTAAACCACCTGAATTTTGAAAAATGTTAAAAGCTCCCGGTTGGTCAGTGGAGATCTCAGCAGTGACTAAAGCTTTCTCCATCCTCTCTCCCTCCCTTCCCAAATATTTATAAGTGGTGTTTTAAAAACGACCGAGGGTTGGTCTGATTGAACCCATATCCCCTCCCCCACCCATTAACTGAGGACTAAGGGTGAACCCAGAGATTATTTTCTGGGTGACCAGGACATGGAGGAGGGAGGGAGGAAGAAAAACATCCAGGGAGGTTGAATAGATGGTATTGAATGAGAATATTTTCCGAAAGGCTAGTGTGTACCCAACCTTGTTCTGAATTCACTCATCAGTTAGACTGAATTGGATCTTTTAAATGGATTCAAGGAATCGAACTGTAGGTTTTGGGTTTGTTTTTTGTTCTTCTTCTTTTTTTTTTTTAAGTTTACGTGGTAATACGTAAATGTTCTTTCTCTGGCCTTTCTTAGAATCCTGTGCAATTCTCTGCTTAGAATTGTCATATTTTTCTACATGAAAAAACGAATTTTTTTTCTGTTGTTATGTGTGTGTTTTTCCTTCTAGATGGTGACATGTGTGTTTCTCCTACTAGATGGTGAGGTGTGTGCCCTTTATGTCTGGCCTAATGAACTCATTAGGCGTTTAATAAATACAGAATGAGTGAGAGGCAGTGAATGAAGGGACAGTTCATGCTGGTTTCAATTAAATAATTACTTTTTTTTTTCCTATTTATGTAGCATGTACAAGTTGCTGGGTGTTGTTTTACCTGCTTTGCAAATATTAAGTCACTTCGGCTTCCTAACAGCCCTAGGAAGTAGGGATTATTACTGAGGCACAGAGAGGCTAAGTAACTTGTTCCAGGTCACACAACCAGTGAGTGGAACCAGAATTCAAACCTAGGCACTGTTGTTCTAAGGTCTTGTTTATTAGCTTTGATCCGCGAATATTCACAGCCACTTAAGTCTCATCCTAGGCCTTTGCTGGATGAGAGCCCAGGTAGTTCTGTCTGTTTGAGTCTAGGGGAGTTAATCCAACATCCATCTCAGTCCTCAACAAGTCAGCCAGTGTTTGAAGAAGACTGCACTGGTTACAGGGGACTGGGGCCGGCGGGGTTGGCGGGGGTGCGGAGTGTAGATGTGAGTAAGTGACAGGTGAAATACTGTCTTTGCCCCAGGAGAGAGGACGCTTGAACACCTCTGGGTCACCCACCCACCAGCTGCAGCTGCTCTCAGGGAGACCCAATGGTGGGGTCCAGGTGGGCTGCAGGTGTGAGCGCGGAGAAGGCAAAGGCTGGTGGGATAGCAAAGGAGATTGGGTTCTGAAGCTGGCACTGGTTTTCTTGCTATTGTTCTCATCATAATGGCAATCTAGTAGGATCACAGAGTCTAGAAACCAGAGGGGACAATTATTACCCCTCACCCTCCTAACACGGCCACTGCCATCATTTTTGAGATAATCCCTTCGGCCCTTTCTCAAGTGCAGGTTTGGGTACCCTCGTGGCCATTGGGCACACCGTCATACTGCATCACAGCCCGAATCTGTCCTGGGTTATTCCTGAACCTCCAAAGGGAGCTTGTCAACAGCTGCTACTTCCTGCGAGTGAATATACTTTGGATCCTGTACTGGCGCACATTTGGACCATTTCCAAATTCTTTTTTGACAGATACGGTGGAGCCACTTTTTGACAGGAGCATTGGCAGGAGGGCAAAAAAGTGAGCCCAGAGTGGGGGGAGGTGCTCATGGGCCACCACAGACCAGGTACAGAATAGGAGAGCACAGCCGAAAGCCAGCCGAGGCCTTCCGGATTCTATATGAGTCTCTAAGGAGGGCGTCAGTCCAGTTCTCAAGGAGGGGACGGACCTGTGGAAAAGCAGGACACTGACCCAGAGCCTGTGAAGATCATCTCAAGTGGAAAATCCATTTCTCACCCTCTCTGACATTGGCTCCTCAGAGAGCATCAGCAGCCAGCAGGGTTCGGTAGCACAGATGAAGGAGTTTGGAGGGTCTACGGTGCCCCTTGGCGGCACCCCAAGCACCTATGCTGTGCTGAGCCCACGGGCCCAAACCCGGGCCGTAGTGTGGCCTGAGAAGAAGGCATTAGACGGGGCGCCTGGGTGGCTCAGTGGGTTAAAGCCTCTGCCTTCGGTTTGGGTCATGATCCCGGGGTCCTGGGATTGAGCCCCGCATCGGGCTCTCTGCTCGGCAGGGAGCCTGCTTTGCTTCCTCTCTCTCTCTGCCTGCCTCTCTGCCTACTTGTGGCCTCTGTCTATCAAATAAATAAATAAAATCTTAAAAAAAAAAAAAGAAGAAGGCATTAGGCACAGGGCTGATCATTTCTGCAGTTATTGGGGTGGAAAGGGCATCAGCCTGGGATTTGGCAAACCTGACTTGGGTCTCAGCTGTGCCTTTAATCAGCTGTGTGACTTAAGGCAGGTCACCTTCCCTCTCTGAGCTGTTTCTCTGTAAACAAGTGTATTGAATGACATTCCCATTCCCGGGTACCTTTCACATCTCCGTGAAAGATGTGTTTCTAAACACTCCTTAGGGCCATGAACTTCCGTGGAAAGACTGGGCTGTAGCAGATCTACTTTCCGGCGCTGTTCCTCCCCAGCTGTGGATCCTTGGTACTTGACACTTAGATTCAATACCCTGTCTGAGCTTGAGGATTTCCAGTTATTTATTTATTTATTTATTTATTTATTTATTGGTACAGCCTTTTTTTAAAAAAATAGATTTTATTTATTTATTTGATAGAGAGAGAGAGAGAGATGTCGAGAGAGGGAACTCAAGCAGGGTGGGTGAGAGAGGAAGAAGCAGGCTTCTGGCTGAGCCGGGAGCCTGAATGCATGGCTCAGTCCCAGGACCCTGGGATTATGACCCGAGTCTAAGGCAGAGGCTTAACGACGGAGTCCCCCAGGCGCCTCAGGTTATGAAATGAAGACCGTGCCCAACTCACAAGGCCCAGGTAAGGATGAGAGTGTTCATACACGGAAAGAACCCAAAATAAAGAACCCAAAAGAATCCAGCCACAGAGTTTGTTTTTAGAAAAAGTTGCAAAGTGACTGCTCTTGGACAAAATGGGATAATGCAGGAGAAACAACCAGAAAAAGCTCTTGGAGGCTCAGTATATAGCATTTTCGCATCTTTCACTTTTCACAGCACTGGACCTAAGAGTCCACTGCACGCCGTGGTCATTTCACGAAAGTTCGTCGATCAGACCGATGGCGTTACTGCTGCTTCTTCTGGTTTACTACTGTACTGTCAGAGTGGAGTGACTGCTGTTCCCACAAGACGCAGATGTCATGTCAAAGCCACCCTAGCAGAAAAGCCATCTCGGGGCGCCTGGGTGACTCAGTCGGTTAAGCCTCCGACTCTTTGATTTCAGCTCAGGTCATGGTCTCAGGGTCATGAGATGGGGCCCCATGGACTCTGCGCTGGGTGTAGGAGCCTACTTGGGATTGTCTCTCTTTCTCTTCCTCTGCCCCTCCTCTCTCTCTGTAAAAAAAAAAAAAAGGAACAGAAAAAGGGGGAAAAAAAAAAAAAGAAAAGCCACCTCTAATGCTCTGATGCAGAAGATTGGAACTGCCCCTTAAGCCCACTATTTTAAAAAGGGAGGAAGACAGGAAGGGAGGGAGGGAGGGAGGGAGGGAGGGAGGGAAGGAGGGAGGGAGGAAGACAGTAAGCAACAAACAGCCAGTGCAGTACCCCAATGATTTAGAGGATCCGTTAAGGGTAGAGCCTTGTCTGCTGAAGCTCTAGACCCTGTGCTGTGTCTGGAGGAGAGCTAGTTGGTAGCAGGTGACCTGGGCCTTTCTTGTTTCCTCCTCTGTGCAGAGAGGGATGGGGTG